GTCTCTCAATACAACGTCACATCTCATCTTGTCTTCAATGCCCACTTCGTGTGATATGTTAGATGACATACCGTTTTCCTCAGTCGCATCATGACACTCGTCTAAGTCCTCGTATGGCCAGATGGGCACCACTTGAGCGTCGCCGCTTATCTTGTCGCAACGTAAGGGTCACAACTTACTCTCTTCATAGTTAGATGGTGACATCTAACATCTTTGCTGCCACTCATTCCTCTCTCTCAGGGAGAAATCTTTGCTCCATTCTTCATTGTTCATTTAAACGAGGATTTTTCAATATTAAGAAACAGGTATTAGTGAATTAAATGAACATCTATAATTGACACTAAAAAAACCCTCGATTCTAACCTACCTCTTTCTGATTTAGTTTCGAAATTTTGAAATTTTTGAGCCTTTATTGAGTGTTTATTTTTTATTTTTAGTGAGAGATAAAGAAAATAAACAACTTAACTGTTGGAGATAAATTCGAAAAATAAATTATAGCATTTAATTTAACTTCAGTTAAGCTACTTCCTGGTCTGTGGGTGCAATAAATTAAATGGATAGGGATTTATGGATATTTTATTTAAAACATATTTCTAAGCTTAAAAAAATATAAATAAATCTAAAATTCGTTAGTATTTTATTTAAAAAATACTTAATGTGGCTTATTTTATTAATATCCTTCAATTTTTTTAAAAAAAAAAATCAAAATTACCTTTTTCATTAATACTATATTTAAAAAATATTCACGAAATTTTAAATAATATATTTATACATTTTGTCTTTATAAAATAAATTCAAAACAGTTTTTTACCGCCAATATATGGACGAAAACTATTTGCCATATTTCATAAATTATCTCCAATTTTTTAATATTATTCATAAAACTTTATGAGTATTTTTTAAATAAATATAAGGAATTTTTTTTTATAAATATTTTTGAAACACTTCTTTTAAAGTTTAAAGGTATTTTTGAAGACAAAATATCCGAGTTTTAATACAAAATTGTTTAAATGAAAACTATTATTTTACATGCTCCATAATAATTACTAATTATCACCAAAAGAAAAATTCTTATTGGACTGCCCGGCCCACAACGTATTTCGAAATTTACCAAAGGGTTGTTCAGTGTAAAATGGGCCGGAGTGACGTATTGGGCCGGGTATTCAAAATTTCAGCCCAACATATTACCATTAATGAGTTTAGGCCCAATTTCAAAACCAAGCCCATTATATATAAAAGGTAAATCGGTGCGTTTTTTGGCCCGATAACGTCGCATCCCAAAAACCCTAACTCTTATCTCTCATATAAATATTCCGCTTCGATTTTCATTGTCCACTCTTAGAACTTCCTCTCTCTCAGAGCTCTAGGGTTTGTAGCAGGAGGCGAACCAGGTAAACCATCTGAACTCGGAAAACATGGCTGCTCCGATTGAGTCGGTTCAGTGTTTCGGCCGGAAAAAGACGGCGGTGGCTGTGACATACTGCAAGCGTGGTAGGGGTTTGATTAAGATCAATGGATGCCCAATTGAACTCGTGGAGCCGGAGATCCTTCGTTTTAAGGCTTATGAGCCTATCCTCCTCCTTGGACGACACAGGTTCTCTGGAGTCGACATGCGTATCAGAGTGAAGGGTGGAGGTCACACGTCGCAGATTTACGCCATCCGTCAGAGCATTGCGAAGGCCTTGGTCGCGTTCTACCAGAAGTATGTGGATGAGCAGAGCAAGAAGGAAATCAAGGACATCTTGGTCAGGTACGACAGGACTTTGCTGGTCGCTGATCCCCGACGCTGCGAGCCCAAGAAGTTTGGTGGTCGTGGAGCTCGTGCGAGGTTCCAGAAATCTTACCGTTGAATTGAATATGCATTTTGGAATAGACTTCGTGATGCTGGTTTTCTGTTTCGGTCTTTTTTTTTATGCTTTTGAATTTACAAGCCTTTTTTGTGTTTAACCCTTTTATCTGTTCTCTCATCAATTAGATTTTGTCTTAATGGTTTAGACTCTTTTGCTATTATATTATTTCGGCATTGGAATGCTGGTAGTTAATTGGAAGCCTGGATTTAGAAGAGCAGTATGAATTAATGGCATTACTTTTCTTTCTAATCTCTGCCATACCCCATGATTCCTAGTTCTCATTTTCTCATTTTTTTGCCAATCCTTGTGAATTAGGTGGTCTGGTTCTTTGACTTGCTGTTAGTTTTGGTTGACGAACACCATCCAATTATGTTATTTTATGGCGCATCTCTATTCCATTTTATTGCCCGTGCTATGATTTTTGAAAGTTTGCCTTTGATATCTTTTCATTAAGATAATGCCCTTATGCCCGATTGATGGTGTTGTTTCCAGATTGATCCTTTCGTATGTGAATTTGGTTATCTCTCTGTCCCATTTGTGAAGTGTCATTTAGTCCTTATATCCTCGAGGAACACTCTGTAATCAATGATCTATTACCAATTCTTGTGCAGTTGCTTACATTGAATAGAACTTTGCACAGGTTTACAAAATATGAGTTTAAAGTAGAATTGGGTTTAGGTGAAAGTAGTCGGTTTGTTATTTTGTAATTCAGTGCCTGTCTAGAATTACGGAAGTAGCTTAAACTGGTCAATTAAGTTCCTATCAGTTTTTTGTTGTCAAACCGTGAGATCCCACGGTGGTAGGAGAGGGGAACCAAACCCACGGTGGTAGGAGAGGGGAACCAAACCCACGGTGGTAGGAGAGGGGAACCAAACCCACGGTGGTAGGAGAGGGGAACCAAACCTTATTTTAAAATTTTGAGGCTGATGACAATACATAGTAGGCCAAAGCAGACAATATCTACTTGTGGTGGGCTTGAGTTGTTACAAATGATATTTGAGTCAAGTTTTGAGAAGTGTGTCGGGGTGGATTGTGAAATCCCACGTTGGTTGGAGAGGAACGAAACATTCCTTGAGGGCATGTAAACCTCTCCCTAGTAGACACTTTTTAGAATCTTGAGGTTGAGAGTGATATGTAACGGGTCAAAGCGGATCATATTTGCTAGCAATAAGCTTGGTCTGTTATCGAAACATTTAGGCGCCACTCTTTATCATGATGTAGTCACTTGTGTTTGGATTGAAATGATAACCTGTTTTCTAGTTATGAAGTAAGATATAAACTTTGTCATTTCACATTCTGCCACATGATTGTTTTTGTTGCATAATCAGTGATGCATTACTTCTTAGCATAGTCATTAGCTTCAAAGTTCTACATACTACTTTAGAAGTATTGAAGAAATGCCCCTGTTAAGTTCCTTGATTACAATTGGCTGGAGACCGGTTTTAGTCTGTCGGTGACATTTTACGATGAAGTAAAGAAGTTTTCAATTGAACTAGGTGTATTCTCCTTGTCCACTAAGGTGAACTTCTAATTGTAGGCCTCTAATTCTGTTCTTTAACTTTCATCGTCTTCTATGAATTAGACTTTGGTAAGTGAAGGCTCGTGGATTGATGGTAAGTGAACGAATTTTTGTTGGCTTTTTTTTTTTATTGACCCCTCGAATGCCATTGAAAGACGGTGAAAGTGAAAATAAGGACTTTGGTTGGTTGTGGGAGAGGAGGGATTGGAACCCTAGCCACGTGCCCTAATCTTCTGAGCTACAGGCCCCACCCACTCCGTCTCCACCGGAGGTACCCTAAAAAAGTAACCTTTCTTCTCCCCAGTCATTTGTCATTTCGAGTTAAGAAGATGTGAAGATGCCCCTCTTGGTAGCAAGAAGTAGAAGCGTTGAAATATCCCCAAACTTATGATATTTTCAATAATTTAGAAAAAACATTAATTCTTTTTAAAGTTTTTTATTTATTTTCTTAAAGAACCCATTAGTTTTTTTAAAAACTTAAAAAATAATAAAAAAATACTAATAAATTTTAAAAATAATATTAAAAGGGTGATAATCTGTATATATATATATATATCTATATATATATATTTTGTTAATGATACTTTTAAGAATATATGTCCTTTAATTTTTAAAAAAGTTTAGTTAATGAAGATATTTTTAAAATACTATATAAAATTAAAAGATATTTTAAAAATAAAATATAAAACAAGTCGGCACCGAAAAAAGAGGATGAGTCAACGGTGAACTTGTTACCATAAATATAAGATTTGATTTAAGCCCACAAAGTGCGGGCCCACCATAATCCAACATCAATAAGAGGTCGCCACGTGTGAGCCACATGAAAGTGACGTGTTCTAATTTGATACGTCAAGTAAAAGGGTTTAAATTAAAAATGGGGAGCACAGGATTGTCTCCCATCAATTTATAATCCTCCACAAATTACATTCCAATTTCATCCACTTTGTTAAATCCTAAATTTAATTAAAAATATAATTTTTTACTTAAATTTTTTGTGGGTTTAATTAATTAATTATTATACCCTTACTCGGTCTCCGTCTGAGACAAATTTAATTGAGTTTACTTATAAGATCAGTTTTTAAATTTTAAATTCAGATTGATATTAGTTTAAAATTTAAGATCACAGTTATTTGCCCAAAAATCTATTTAAAATTGAAAAAGACTCATTAATATTGTTTAGTAAGGGTGATCGAGAATGACCATAAGAGTTGAAAGATCAAAATATTATTGATAAACATCAATAAAGTTTGAGTAAATATCTATTTATTTTTACAAAAGCATTATTCTATTATTTAAAAAAAATGATAAAAGAAAAAAGTCAAAAAAGTTTTGTCTTTTCTGCTAGGCAATTTGGCAAATTCCTATTGGCTGAGAGCAGCACATGATGTTCTTTAGTAGTAGAAAAACCTCAGACCGTTAACAACCCAAAAAACCGCAAATTTACAATCGCATCCTTTTTGTCGGAAAGCTGAATCCAACGGTCCATATTTATCCACTTTGCTGTTCTCCATTGGCTCGCCGGTCAATTTCACCTTTCAGACCTTCATCCATTGGTCCACGTTGTTGAATCTAAATGGATGCCTTTGCTTTTAATCAATATTATATTTCTAATCCAAAAAAAAAAAAAGTCTAAATTTTTATTTAAAAATCCCAGAAAATTAAGCTCTCAAATCCTTTATACAAAGCTCAGATCTGTGCGACAGACACCTGTCGTCTCCACCAGCCCAAAGAAAGAAGGGGTCTCTCAGTTCAGGTCACTGCCAATTTTTCCAAAAGTGCCCAACAATTTTTCCTTAGAAAAAGGAAAAAACAGGATTTTTTTTGTTTTTTTTAAGGTGAGCTGCCATTTCATTTCACTCCCAGTTTTCCTTTTCGTTGCTGTTCTAAAAAATGGTTGTTTTTTTCCCTTCTGTTCTGTGTTTTTGTGGTTTATCGATGTTAGAATGTTGGTTTGGGATTGCAGATGTTAAAATGAGGTGTAGTTTTAGCTCTTTATCTAAATTTATATGTAATTATACTGTGTTTAATGATTTTGTCTGATGGGTTTTCTTGTTTGAGGTTTTGATTTGATCTTGTTTGAAGATTGGGTTTGTAGATTAAGAAAAAGGGTCAGTTTAGAGAGTAGTGACCTCTTGAAAATTGTTATTTGCTGCCTGTTTTGGGTATCAAGAGCTTGGAATGAATGGTCCAAATGTTTTAGATTTCGTCTCATCATTATGATGAACTGGTGTAATCAAAGTTTTAGTTTATGATGGTGCTAGTTTTGAGTATCAGTTCTTGCTTCACCAATTATCTGGTTGTGATGTGGGTTCGTTGTGGTGATGTCAATCCACCGCTAGTAGATATTGCCCTATTTAGGCTTTCCCTCAGGGTTTTTAAAACGCGTATGCTAGGGAGAGGTTTCCACACCCTTATGAAGAATGTTTTGTTCTTCTCCTCAACCGATATAGGATCTCACAATCTACCCCCCTTTGTGGCCCGGCGTCTTCGTTGGGTCGTTCACTTCTCCAATCGATGTGGGACTTCTCAATCCATCCCACTTCGAGGCCCAACATTCTTGCTGACACACTGCCTCGTGTCCACCCCTATTTGGGGCTCAGTCTTCCCGCTGGCACATCACTCGATGTCTGGCTTTGATGCCATTTGTAACCGTCCAATCCCATCACTAGTAGATATTGTCCTCTTTGGGCTTTTCCTTTCGAGCTTCCCCTCAAAGTTTTTAAAATGCGTCTGCTAAGAAGTTTCTACACCCTTGTGAAGAATGCTTCGTTCTCCTTCCAATTGATGTGGGATCTCACGAATGGGGTGAGAAGTTTTTTGTGTCAGTGTTAGGAGTATGGAAATCATAGTAATTGAACGGTAATGTTTATAAGCTATTCAATACAGAATTCTTAGGCCATGAAAAACCTTTATCTTTCATTCTATTGATAAGTTTTCCTTGATTCAGTAGTAAGAAAACTGAGAACGTCTCAATAAGCTAGACCCATGCTTCGAGTTGTTTCATGCCATAAATAAACGCTGGCTGTTCAAAGCGGTTGTCGTGTCGACACGAGTTGAGCTTGCAAATGAATTTCAGGAGCTTTGAGGATATGCCAACAGGAGAAGGCATCATGGCTAAGACACAAGGAAATTTCACATTAACCAGACAACCTTCCATATACTCTTTAACCTTTGATGAATTTCAGAACACATGGAATGGACTTGGAAAGGATGTTGGTTCAATGAATATGGATGAACTTCTAAAGAACATATGGACAGCAGAAGAGTCTCAGGCAATGACATCTACAGCTGCTGCTGTGGGTGGAGCTGGAAGCACCAATGGTGGGAACTTGCAGAGACAAGGTTCATTAACATTACCACGGACCATTAGTCAAAAAACGGTTGATGAAGTTTGGAAAGACTTGAGCAAAGAGGGGGGAAGTGGAGTCGAGGCAACGCCTCGACGACAACCGACGTTAGGGGAGGTGACATTGGAGGAGTTCTTAGCTAGAGCTGGAGTGGTAAGAGAGGAGCCTCGACGTGTCGAGGAGCGGCCGTTTAGCTGTGGATTTTTTGGTGGATTGTCAAGAGATGACAACAATGCTAGCTTGGCTCTTGGGATGTTCATGGAAAATCAGATAGCTGAGAACAAAAACAATGCTGGTTTGGCTCATGGGATGTTAAGGGCAGGAGCTGTAAGGTCTCCTCAGCAGCAGCAGCAGCCACTTTTTCCCAAACCAGCTACTGTGACCTTTGCTTCTTCAATGAATTTAGTGAACAATCATCCACAGCATTCTACTGGAGCTGCTACTAATTTGGTTGTGGCTCCCAAACCTTCTTTATATGATCCTTTACTTCAGGGCAGCGGCGTCGGTGCGGTCGGTTTAGGCACGGGAGGTGTAACTGTTGCTTCAAGATCTCCTACAAGCACAATATCATCTGACATGATTACAAAAAACAGCATATCTACATCTTCATTTTCACCGGTTCCATATTCGTTTGGTCGGGGAAGGCGAAGCGGTGGAGCGTTGGAGAAAGTAGTCGAGAGGAGGCAACGACGAATGATAAAGAACCGAGAGTCGGCTGCAAGATCACGGGCTCGTAAACAGGTAGCTATGCTAATGGTTATCACTTTTTAACCATGAAATGCACTTTCGAGTTTGTGTTGGTTTTTCATAGTAATGTTCATCTGCTGTACAGTTTCTTAGGACTTGTTTTGAATTAGTGAACCATTCACAAAAAACTTCTAGCCAAATGAAGTTCTTGAGTTAACCTCCATTTAGCTTCCTAAAACTTCTAGCCAAAATATTATGGATGGATTCCTTGTATCATGCCTGTAAAACTTGCAGTTTCCGTCCATTTTAATTGTCACAATCGTGCTCCTATGGGACGTTTCTAAGTGATTGTGCGGCACTCACTCTCACTACTGACACTACTGAGTGAGTCAGTCAACTCGAAATCGTGTCGACCCATATACCCCAGCCTCTAGCATGCTTTAAGAAGAAGGTTTTAGAGGGCAGGGCCAGAGAAAGATTTTAGAAAGAGAGTTTGGAAGGAAGATCGAGAGAAAGGAAGAAAATAATATTATAGGCTATAAACGAAAAGGCAATGCCACGGGCTTAGGTAGCATAGAGCTCTGGGTAGGAAGAATTGACGACTAGTCACATTCTCCGGCATTTCAGGTCTACTAGGCGTAGACATGATTTTGTCGAAACGTCATACACTTAGAAAATACAAAAAGAAAACTATACATCATGAAAACAATAAAGGAAAGTGTAATAGGCCAAGCTCACCGATGGTAGATATTGTCCTCTTTGGGCTTTCCCTTTCGAGCTCCCCTCAAGGATTTTAAAGTGCATCTGTTAGGGAGAGGTTTCCACACTCTTGTAAGGAATGCTTCATTCTCCTCTCCATCTGATGTGGGATCTCACAATCCACTCCCCTTGGGGGCCCAACGTCCTTGCTGGCACACCACTCAGTGTCTAGCTCTGATACCATTTGTAACCGTCCAAGTCCACCTCTGATAAGGAATGCTTCATTCTCCTCTCCAACTGACGTGGGATCTCACAATCCACTCCCCTTGGGGAATCAACGTCCTTGCTGGCACACCGCTCGATGTCTAGCTCTGATACCATTTGTAACAACCCAAGTCTACCGCTAGCAGATGTTGTCCTATCTAAGCTTTCCCTTTCAAGCTTTCCCTCAAGGTTTTTAAAACCCGCCTGTTAGGGAAATGTTTCCACACTCTTATAAAGAATAATTCGTTCTCTTTCTCCAACTGATGTGAGATCTTACTGAAAGAAGTAAAGTGATACAATACAAGGATTTTGGTATGCAACGGGCATGCAACTGGAAACCGTTCAAAGTACCCAAAGTATCTTTAATGATCAGAATAGACATGTAGAATCCAAGCCTCAGCTAGTCACATTCAAATTTGAGATTCTTCCATAAGAACAGTTTGATATTTGCAGGCATACACCTTAGAACTTGAAGCAGAAGTTGCAAAACTCAAAGAAATGAACCAAGAATTGCAGAAGAAACAGGTACATTACATATCAAAAAATGGATTTCATTTGATATAATTGGCTGAAACAATCATCTTGACCTCCATTTTTTATGCATCTTATCATCTGCAGAGAGAGATAATGGAAACCCAGAAAGATCAGGTACATTGATATCAGCTTCTTTAAACACACAAGCTTTCATTTTAACAACAATCCTTTACTTTTGACAGGTTTTGGAGAAGATGAAATGTCATTTTGGTGCCAAAAGGCTCTGCTTAAGAAGAACACTGACAGGCCCTTGGTAGAGGTACCATGATGAGCACTCAAATTTAGATATAATGTATAAAAGGCTTAGAGTGTGTGTTTCTAATCTGATATCAGACTTAGAGATAGGTTGGTAGCTGTAGATATCAAAGTTCAGCACCGGTATGTAGATAGCTGACAGATAGTAGAGTTGAGCTATATGCTGTATATATGAACCTTTTGTGTTCCAATGGTTGTTTGCTTGAACTTTGGACCTCTGTAAAGCTGTTTTTGATAGTTTGCCTCACCATTTCCTTCATGAAAATTTGAGCATGTCTTTTGATTATACTATAGTTTCATCAATTTCTTGGTTATATGTTAAGTTTGCAATGTAATGGCTGTTGGTTTACTGAGTCGAATTGAAAAGAACAACGAGAAGAAGCGGGGAATTCATGTAAGGGGAGGATTGTTGTGAGATTCTACGTTGGTTGGAGAAGGGAATGGAGCATTTTTTGTTAGGGTGTGGAAACCTCTCCCTAATTGACGTGTTTTAAAAGTGTGATGCTAATGGCGGTACGTAATAGGCCAAAGTGGATAATATCTGTTAGTGGTGGGCTTAGACTGTTATAAATGATATTAGAGCCAGACACTAGGCGGTGTGCCAGCGAGGACACTGGACCCTCGAGAGTGTGGAGTGTGAGATCCCATGTTGGTTGGAGAGGGGAACGAAGCATTCTTTATAAGGATGTGGAAATCTCTCCCTAATAGACGTGTTTTAAAATTGTGAGGCTGACGGCGATATATATGGGCCAAAGTGGATAATATTTGTTAGCGGTGGACTTGGGCTGTTGTAAATGGTATCAAAGCCAGACACCGAGCGATGTGCCAGTGAGGACGCTGGTCCCCATGGAGGGTGGATTGCGAGATCTCATTTTGGTTGAAGAGGGGAACGAAACATTTTTTATAAGGGTGTGAGAATCTCTCTCTAATAGACACGTTTTAAAATTGTGAAGCTGACGACGATACGCAACGGAGCAAAGCAGACAATACTTGTTAGCAGTGGGCTTGGGTTGTTACAAATGATATCAAAGCCAAACACCGAACGGTATGCCAGCGAGGACGTTGGACACCCAAGTAGGGTGGATTGATCCAAAGTTGGTTGGAGAGAGGAACGAAACATTTTTTATAAGAGTGTTGAAACTTATCCCTAATAGATGCATTTTAAAACCCAAAAAGGTGGATTGTGAGATCTCACGTTGCTTGGAGAGGAGAACGAAGCATTCTTTATAAGGGTGTGGAAACGTCTCTCTAATAGATGCGTTTTAAAATTGTGAGACCAACGTTAATATGTAACGGGCCAAAGCGGACAATATATGTTAGCGGTGGGTTTGAGCTGTTATAATTGTTGAAGATCGATGAAGTCTCATAGATAATTAAGGAGAAGATCATAGTTATAGACACTATTTTCATTAGAACGAGTCCTTTTAGAGGAACCAAAAGCAAAACCACGAGAGCGTATGATGGAAGTGAACACTATCATATACTATTGTTGAGGTTTGTTGTTCCCATCGATATTAGTTTTTGAACTTTTCTCTCGACCTCGTTAAGTGTTAGGAACAACGAACACTCGTAATAATATGATATTGTTTACTATCAGTATATGTTCTAATAGCTTTGATTTTAGTTCTCCAAAAAGTCTCGTGCTAATAGAAATAGTGTCCCTTATTTATATACCATGATCGTTCTCTTAATTACGCTATGTAGGATTTTGACCGTTAGCAATGGGACAAAGAAGAGGAGGAAAGGTTCAAGATGAACGTTATTGAGGTGTATGAGAGGGAAGCAAGTTCTTATTATTCCACAGCTCGGATATGAGATGATCAAATCATCGACACTAGAAAAATTATCGAATTGTGTGTCTCGGGTTCACTAAATTCTCCATTTTACTCTTTTAGGGGAATGCTTCCATGTTTTGTGAAAGAGTGTTCGTGGTCTAATGGATAAGACGTTTGACTTCAAATCGACAGTTTATATCATCCATACATAATGTTTCACCGGATGTGATTTTACTACCATGTTACGAGTCTCGTCAAAAGAGTGCTTGTGATTTAACGGATATGACGTTTGACTTTTAATCAGGCAATTATGGGTTTGAGTCCCACCGGGTGTGATAATGATTTGTTGTAGTGAGAATTCTTGTTTTGTGGGTTCGAGATGTTTCGAGTCCCATAGGAAGAGCACCCGTGGCCTAATGGATAAGGCATTTGACTTCTAATCAAGGGACTGTGGGTTCAAGTCCCACCGGGTGTGATAATGATTTTGTTGCATGGTTATTCATGTTTGTGTAAATTTTTTTATGTAGGAGAATTCTTATTTTGTGGGTTCGAGATGTTTCGAGTCCCATGGGAAGGGCACCCGTGGCCTAATGGATAAGGCATCTGACTTCTAATCAGGCGATTGTGGGTTCAAGTCCCACCGGGTGTGATAATGATTTTGTTGCACAGGTTATTATGTTTGTATAAATTTTTTGATGCAGTGAGAATTCTTGTTTTGTGGGCCTAATGGATAAGGCGTCTGACTTCTAATCAGGCGATTGTGGGTTCGAGTCCCACCGGGTGTGATAATGATTTTGTTGCACTGGTTATTTATGTTTGAATAAATTTTTTGTTGCAGTGAGAATTCTTATTTTGTGGGTTCGAGATGTTTCGAGTCCCATGGGAAGGGCACCCATGGCCTAATGGATAAAGTGTCTGACTTCTAATCAGGCGATTGTGGGTTCGAGTCCCACCGGGTGTGATAATGATTTTGTTGCACAGGTTATTATGTTTGTATAAATTTTTTGATGCAGTGAGAATTCTTGTTTTGTGGGCCTAATGGATAAGGCGTCTGACTTCTAATCAGGCGATTGTGGGTTCGAGTCCCACCGGGTGTGATAATGATTTTGTTGCACTGGTTATTTATGTTTGAATAAATTTTTTGTTGCAGTGAGAATTCTTATTTTGTGGGTTCGAGATGTTTCGAGTCCCATGGGAAGGGCACCCATGGCCTAATGGATAAAGTGTCTGACTTCTAATCAGGCGATTGTGGGTTCGAGTCCCACCGGGTGTGATAATGATTTTGTTGCACAGGTTATTATGTTTGTATAAATTTTTTGATGCAGTGAGAATTCTTATTTTGTGGGTTCGAGATGTTTCGAGTCCCATTGGAAGGGCACCCGTGGCCTAATGGATAAGGCGTCTGACTTCTAATCAGGCGATTGTGGGTTCGAGTCCCACCGGGTGTGATAATGATTTTGTTGCACGGGTTATTTATGTTTGAATAAATTTTTTGTTGCAGTGAGAATTCTTGTTCTGTGGGTTCGAGATGTTTCGAGTCCCATGGGAAGGGCACCCGTGGCCTAATGGATAAGGCGTCTGACTTCTAATCAGGCGATTGTGGGTTCGAGACCCACCGGGTGTGATAATGATTTTGTTGCACAGGTTATTATGTTTGTATAAATTTTTTGATGCAGTGAGAATTCTTGTTTTGTGGGCCTAATGGATAAGGCGTCTGACTTCTAATCAGGCGATTGTGGGTTCGAGACCCACCGGGTGTGATAATGATTTTGTTGCACAGGTTATTATGTTTGTATAAATTTTTTGATGCAGTGAGAATTCTTGTTTTGTGGGCCTAATGGATAAGGCGTCTGACTTCTAATCAGGCGATTGTGGGTTCGAGACCCACCGGGTGTGATAATGATTTTGTTGCACAGGTTATTATGTTTGTATAAATTTTTTGATGCAGTGAGAATTCTTGTTTTGTGGGCCTAATGGATAAGGTGTCTGACTTCTAATCAGGCGATTGTGGGTTCGAGTCTCACCGGGTGTGATAATGATTTTGTTGTACAGGTTATTTATGTTTGTATAAATTTTTTGTTGCAGTGAGAATTCTTGTTCTGTGGGTTCGAGATGTTTCGAGTCCCATTGGAAGGGCACCCGTGGCCTAATGGATAAGGCGTCTGACTTCTAATCAGGCGATTGTGGGTTCGAGTCCCATCGGGTGTGATAAAGATTTTGTTGTACGGGTTATTTATGTTTGTATAAATTTTTTGATGAAGTGAGAATTCATATTTTGTGGGTTCGAGATGTTTCGAGTCCCATTGGAAGGGCACTCGTGGCCTAATGAATAAGGCGTTTGACTTCTAATCAGGCGATTGTGGGTTTGAGTCCACCGGGTGTGATAATGATTTTGTTGTACGGGTTATTTATGTTTGTATAAATTTTTTGTTGCAGTGAGAATTCTTGTTCTGTGGGTTCGAGATGTTTCGAGTCCCATTGGAAGGGCACCCGTGGCCTAATGGATAAGGCGTCTGACTTCTAATCAGGCGATTGTGGGTTCGAGACCCACCGGGTGTGATAATGATTTTGTTGTACGGGTAATTTATGTTTGTATAAATTTTTTGTTGCAGTGAGAATTCTTGTTCTGTGGGTTCGAGATGTTTCGAGTCCCATTGGAAGGACACCCGTGGCCTAATGGATAAGGCGTCTGACTTCTAATCAGGCGATTGTGGGTTCGAGTCCCACCGGGTGTGATAATGATTTTGTTGTACGGGTTATTTATGTTTGTATAAATTTTTTGATGCAGTGAGAATTCTTGTTTTGTGGGTTCGAGATGTTTCGAGTCCCATGGGAAGATAAATTTTTTGATGCAGTGAGAATTCTTGTTTTGTGGGTTCGAGATGTTTCGAGTCCCATGGGAAGGGCACCCGTGGCCTAATGGATAAGGCGTCTGACTTCTAATCAGGCGATTGTGGGTTCGAGACGGAAGGGCACCCGTGGCCTAATGGATAAGGCGTCTGACTTCTAATCAGGCGATTGTGGGTTCGAGACCCACCGGGTGTGATAATGATTTTGTTGTACGGGTAATTTATGTTTGTATAAATTTTGGGTTCGAGACCCACCGGGTGTGATAATGATTTTGTTGTACGGGTAATTTATGTTTGTATAAATTTTTTGTTGCAGTGAGAATTCTTGTTCTGTGGGTTCGAGATGTTTCGAGATTTATGTTTGTATAAATTTTTTGTTGCAGTGAGAATTCTTGTTCTGTGGGTTCGAGATGTTTCGAGTCCCATTGGAAGGGCACCCGTGGCCTAATGGATAAGGCGTCTGACTTCTAATCAGGCGATTGTGGGTTCGAGTCCCACCGGGTGTGATAATGATTTTGTTGTACGGGTTATTTATGTTTGTATAAATTTTTTGATGCAGTGAGAATTCTTGTTTTGTGGGTTCGAGATGTTTCGAGTCCCATGGGAAGGGCACCCGTGGCCTAATGGATAAGGCGTCTGAC